GATTCACTGACAGATACAGAATTATTCTTATAAATATTTGTATTGCGATGATCACGGCGTTATGCGCGTTCGCACTATGTTACTCAGTAACGACGATTCGTGTTATAGTCAGCTCCGTTTACGTTCTGTATTTTTTTGTTTGAATTGTAGGATTGGCTACAGGCGTGGGCTTCCGCACCGTTCCTACTACTTACTATGTGGCCTATTCCGACAATTCCAACCACATTTCCTTCCATCCTACCTAAACTCTCCCATGCGCGGAGTTTTGTGGACGTAACCATAGATGCTGCGCTTTCGTCTCAGAATCTCAATATGTTTGTAGTTTTACTTCTGGGAAACGCTTTTTTGCTACGTACACCTCGCCCCGCCACTCGCCTACCTATTCCACATGCGGTATCGTATAATGTGTTACATGCAAGAGGCGTGGGCTACAGTATATTGACCAGAACAAACGATGCTTGCGGGCTGGGGTTTTAGAACATGTTCGAAGTGTCCGCCATGGCACTTCCAATAGCGTCCTATATATCCATTATCGCGAACATGGCCACTCCGTTTCCGGCACGTTCTTTCAAGTCCTTGAATTCGTAGACGATTTGCACCGATTGACTGATGCTGAACTCTTTTGGATACGCTTATTTCAGACTATTTACCCTTTGCGTCTAAGCGACCACATTAAGGGGTTTGGTGTGGTGACTCAGGAAGCTATTCGTAATACTAAGATTACCCCCATACTTCTCCTTACCTCTCCCGCGGATCAACCGCCGGCACGAACGAAGACGGCGAACTTCTAAATTTACCAACCACGGTTTCATTGATTTTGCGCTTAGTATGACTTTCGACAACCCCACTGAAATTCAAGCCTTTGTACGGATCCTCCATAACCAAAGCTGCCGAACTCTTACTTTCACTCTCCACCGTGCAAATAAATCTAATCTGCTGGGTGCTTTTCTTTGGCACGTAATCAGTTCCCATCTCTCTTCTAGACATCCGGGTTCATAGCAATTAGTGGTTTCGAGGCGTTGCTCCCTAGCCAGGACCAGCTTACGACCTGGTCAGTTACAATCGTTTGGTTCATAATCGCGCGTTTCGGCGTTTATGTAATGGCATCTCCATACCCCGTTTCACCACAGCCTTTAAGTATGACCCCCCTTTAGGACGAATTTTGTGCAATTACACTGCCATGCTAAATAACATTGACAGAACCCCCGTCACTACTCAACCACCAGCCCTCATCCCATGCGCCTGTTCCAACTCATTTGTATATCCTCCTCTTGGCCACATAATTACTGGCGACACACGCGTGCTAGAGGGCGACTTTTTAGAACACTACTTCAAGCATCCTATGCAATTTCCAGTTACCTCGAAATCTACACCCCACTGACGTCTTCGATCACTTTGCTACTACCATCACAGCTTATATTCGGTTACTCGTCCGCAGACATCGTATAGAATTGCCCAGCGCTACGTCTTACCGTGACGACGTGCTGTTTTGTGCTCGCCGCCTCCTTGAGAGCTTCTACATCAATACTCGTCCTCTTTGCAATATAAGCCCCTCTACCCTCTTGGCTCGTGCTCAGAGTCAACGGCGCCTCACTAGATATTACGCCTGTCGACAAAGCACCCAACAATGTTGCTTTCATTTGCAAATCGCTTTACATAAGTGTACTCTGACAGGAACTAGGCATACTGGACAGTGGAGATGTTATTGGTAATGAAACATTCAATCCAGTTAACGAGATTGCTTCTTCACATTCTAGCTCGCCACGGTCGCCTCTTGCAAAAGTTCCAAATTCAACTAGACTATGAAAACAAGGCCCTACCCCTAATCTATGCCGTGCCTATGTTTCATAAGACCCCCTATAGCTTCCGTTTTATCGTCTCCGCGGTACGTTCAAGCATCAAACCCTTAAACGTTCTTCATCGCGTACTGCAGTTTTTCCGCCGGCATCTCTACAACTACGCTTCAGTACTACAAAGTAGGTTACGCAAACGCCTCTACTGAAGTGTTAGAAATTTTGGCGATGTCATCACATTTGTTAACAGTTGTAACCTAATCCAAAACCTTTATACGGCAGACTTCTCAACTTTGTTCACAAAACTGCCGCATCACGTTATTTATGACGCACTCGGTTCTTTTTTCCTTATGCTTTCACAACGCTCATGCTGACGCTTTGCATATCACCACCAAGGCTATTTGTTACGTTAGCCACGCAAGAGGATTTGTTTACGATCTACTCTTCTGCGGAAATCGGCAGTATATTGCGCACGATTGTCGGCGAGGCCTATGTGCGTTTCAGCGGTTACATCTTTCGGCAAGTTAAGGGCATCTCTGTAGGGGGGTAACGCTAGTTCTGATATCGCCGATCTCACCCGTTCGGTTCTTGAATTCAAGTTCAGCCCGATCCCCAGCAACCCTCCTGTCCTTCTTTGTCGATATGTCGACTACCTACTTATGCTTAATTGTACGAATCCTCATCTCCCTTTGATGCAGATATACGGCCAACACCTGGATATTGAAACCACTAGTTCCGGTAGCTCTGTTGACTACTTAGACATGACCCTTTCTATAAATGAGGAAGGCTACATAGGATCCACTCTTTATTGTAAAAGTCACCACTTCGCCTTCCCCATTAATAGGTTTTGTTCCCTGCAAAGCAACGTGCACCCAACGGTCCATGACGGAACTATATATAGTCAACTAATTCGATACCTACGCATTGAGTCCTTCCCTCAGGGATTCACATATTCGGTACAACGTCTGTTCCTTGATTATTCCGCTAAAGGCTTTCCTCCCGATCGTCTTCAACGATTAGTGCCTTCATACACAAAAATCGACTGCGTCTCACCAAATATTTTCCCCCACTGCACCGCATTGTCGCCGTCTGATATGTACCCTGCTCGCATGACTTAATGCTCTTCTTGTTAAATATGCCGCGTCACGTTATCTGCTCGCCTTTCCCTTCGCACCTCACATATGTTTCCAATACTAGAATCCACCAAGCGCAGCAAGCACGGCAGCGGCGACAGCGTCAACAGCAAAACCTCCTCCATCGAGGTTTGCTACCACTCCTTTTTAAATCTTTAATTTTTAAATCTTTAAACCCCTTTAAAAAAAATTTTTTTACTCGTGTCTTTAGCATCCCATCCCACCTCTCCCCTCCTCTCTTCCCATCTTTCTCACTTTCTCCCCCTCCCTCCGCCCCTCCCCTTCTGCCTTTTCTATCTGCTTAATTGTCTTTCCTTACTCTCTTCCTATCTCCATCTCTTTCTTCTTCTTCCTTGCGCACTGCGACCGTCATACTGACGAGGTTCAGTCACAGTGTGGAGTTAAGACATATATGACTCAATGGACCCCCAAACTTCACCACTTTTCCCCCAAACTTCACCACCCTTTCTTGCTTTCGTCTGCCCTTCCAGAATTGACCTGGGGGCTGCAACCTATTTGCCAGTATGTCCACACAAAACGAACCCACAGCAGAAGGAATCAAATCCGAAACCACGTCCTTCACGTTAGTTTAATGTTTTGCTACATTTTTCAACCTACTTATCCCTCTTAACCTTTTTAACCTTCTTTCCTTTCTCTCTCCCTACTTTCTTCTGTCTTTGCACACGGCACATTTCCTACTTTACTTGGTGGTTAGGAGGTTGTACTGATGATTCCTACTCCTAACCACACGTTTACTGATGATTCCCACACCTAACCACACGTTTACTTGTTTACAGTTAGGGAATGAAAAACAAATATCCCTACATATTCTCAGCACATGCGTTGTCGACATTCATATTGCTTATAGCACATGCTCCTACATCTTCCAATTCCCCCTCCTCCACCTCCTCGCTCCCTCCCCCGCCCATGCGCATTAGTTTATTTCACATGAAATATTAAACTCGAACCTTCCCATTCCCTTCTATCTATTTAGTAATTGCCCCCTCCAGCACCATCTCCCCCCACCCCCCACCACCCAAACTCCGGCAACAACTGCACCCACCTTAGGTGTGACGTTTTATTGGCAACTACTAAAACTCGGCTCGGTTCGGTTCGGCCGGCTCGGCTGGTGCCTCACACGATCAGCCAAAAATTTTTCTATGGAGGACGGGTAGGGTTGCCCGTGCAAAATGTTCAAGTATTCACCGGTGTTCATCATTTGTGG